TCGTTTATTGTGATCAATTTGGTAAAGCTAACATAAACTGTTTGTTGTTTCTTACCAACATTTTTTCTTCCCTATAATTTTCTACTCCTTTTAAAAACTGATTACACGTAGCATAGTACGTAAACATTTCATTTCTGTTGAGACTATCTTCCATCTGTCTTCTGAAGACAGTGTCCATGTTTAAGGTTGATAACACAGCGTTGTTAAGAATATTATGGTGAACAATGTTCTTTTAGTGTTCATATTCACATACCGGCATTTCAAAATTGGTGCCATTTAGCCTAAAACTTGATTGGCTTTATCGCCTCTTTGCTGGATTTCTTTATTAACCCTTCCCTCTTTGGACAAGTTGCTCCCAGATATGTAAAATCCTTCGCCTACTTTAACTGGTGTTCATCAATTCTGATATTGGTGATTCTTTCTTCTCTAGAGAATGTCGTAAGTTTTTTTTTTTTTGGGTCTACGTTAATCTTCATATTCTAGTTGTCGCATTCTGAGTGAAGTCTAATAATATTTTCTTGTAGCTGTACTGCTGTTTGTGCTATGATACGCAACAAACTTTAAATATTGCCAGCGCTAAACGTGTCAGCGTTAGAACCTTTATATATAATCTGCAATTTATAGGTTTATGTGTATAGATGATTAAATTACATATATAATATTTTTATATATTGAATAAAACGAAAATAATAATCAAAAAAGCAGCTAAAAAAATAAACAATCTCCCTGGCGGGGAATCGAACCCCGGTCTCCCGCGTGACAGGCGGGGATACTTACCACTATACTACCGAGGACACAGGACTAAAACGCTTTCTGAATTTTCATTACCAGATTAAAAAAAAAATTTGTTTCATTTGGAATTACAGTGGAACCTCCCTTAACGAGCTTAATTCGTTCCAGAATCATACTCGTTAAGCGAAACACTCGTTATGCGAAGCAATTTTTCTCATATAAATTAATGTAAAATACGATAATGCGTTTCATGTCGAAAAAAATACTCACAAAATGTTATGTATAAGTTATACTATAACATTTATTCAAAGGAAATTATATACATATTTAAGAAGAGTTAATCATCCTCATCTTTTCTTCAAACGCGGAACGAACCCACGTAGAATGCGAATCCGATTTGCAGAAAAAAAAAGTCGAAATAATTATGATACATAGCTAATTATTTTTTTACTAGAAAGATGTCCAGAGACTTTTGTTTTGTCGACGATTTAATATTTGTCGAAAATGCGACACAGAATTATCAGTAAATAAATTTGCAGCGCGCATAGCCACTTCCTTATTGGGGTGATGCTTCTCAATGTTAGACGCAACAGCTCCCCATGCTTTCAGCATTTTTCTTATTTCGCTAGAAGATTGTTGCTTTTCTGTTACCTTCTCCTCCTCCTCTGACAAACTTTCCTCCAAAACGTCTTGCTGTGAAACACAATGCAACTCCATAAGCTCTTCGAGGGTCAGCTCTTGGCAGTGCTCTTCCACAAGCTCTTAAATATCACTGTTATACACCTACAATCCGATGATAGTGGCCAAAGACACAATCTCGTTGACTACAGGTTCCACAGGTACTGTCTCAAACCCCTCATAGTCACAAATCGACAACGCTCTCCAGCCAAAGCTTCTTCCAAGCAGAAGTTAGGGTTCTCTTGGTAACCCCTTCCTCCGCCTTGTCTATCATCTTGAGGCAGGCAACGATGTGAAAGTGAGTTTTCCAAAACTCTTTAAGAGTAAGGTTGGTCCCTTCAGTCATCTGAAAACAATGCTCGAAGACTGCTTTAGTATAGAGCTTCTTAAAGTTAGAAATAACTTGCTGGTCCATTGGCTGGAGTAACGGAGTGGTGTTGGGAGGCAGAAACTGGATCATGATGAACTTAAATTCATCAGGGAGGTCATCTTGTAGACCTAGAGGATTTATGTACATATATCACAGTATAGCACAAGTTTGAGAAAATGTGTGATCACAAGCGACAATGCTTCTGGAACGAGTGCTAAACAAAGACTGATGTAACATGCTCAAAATCAGGGACTTCCCCTCTCCTCGCCACTCATTATGCGAAACGTCGCTCGTTAAGCGAGTCATTCTTTTACAATTTGTTTTGCTCGTTATGCGAATTACTCGTTATGAGAGGTGCTCGTTAAGCGAGGTTCTACTGTACAGTATTAAACGGTAAAGCAATACATCTCCAGAAGACTGTAGAGTTATCAACTTCCGAAAATAAAACACAGTCACGAATACTAAAATGTAAATTGCGGTTAGAAAGCCTTCATCAACATCCAATTAACAAGTATGGTAAACCAAATGACGTAGCTGCGAAACTTAATTACGATCTTCAGAGCCTGGGGTTAGGAGAATATAAACATGCGTTTAGGACACCGACGTAGAGAAAACACAAAGAAAGAGTGGGGCGCTCAGTATGTTAACACATTTATTAGAAGATGTGTTTCTCTTCATCGTTTTGCTTATGAAGGCCAACCACCGGAACATCATTCGTTTGTTTATTGTAATTATTTTCGTTAAACTGACATATACTTTATTTCTGCGTGTTTCTTCTGAGGACTTCTGTAACTTTACTACAGTCACCTAACTTCAATAAACTGTTTGACTTATAGCCGATTCCTTGGAACGATTGACTTAACTGTTACCTTCTCCACACACCGATGTTACTTCATCACGAAATATTGCTCTCTGCGTATCAGCTTACTCCATATCAAGAAAAGATATAAAACAGAAAGAAAAGCATATTAAAAAGCTACACAATATAACAAATCTAAACAAAACGTGAACGTTGCGACTATGCAGCCTTCATCAGCACATACAAACCAAACAATTCTACACAGATACACAAAATCACTTAGCTGGTATCTCGAAGCAGCTGGGTCGGTGGTTTCTCAGCAGACTGCCTACACTTGTCGGCTGGGGGTGGGAGGGAGGGGGAGTAGAGTAACAGGGGCCATAACTAAGGGTTAAAGATAAAATTGTGAGGGCAGTTCAATCCCCTGGGAGTTTAAATGAAACTGTGTTGGCAGTTCAGTCCAGAGGGTGTTAAAGTCTAGGGTTGCCGACATTTTTTGGGGTAATAGTATGACAATCCCTTAAAAGTCTTTAAACACACACATACACATAAAGTAAAAAGAAAAAAAAAATAACTGAAGTCGGTCTTCCTTCACTAATAATAACTTGTTCCAGCGTACCGTGCCAACATTTAAAATATTGAAGCAAATTGTCTAAAACCCAACACAACATCGGGTGTAGTACCAAAAGTACAGTGACGCTCGGCAAAGATAATATACTAACAAATCTGAACACCAAACTTCGACAGCCCTGCTGAAGTCTTGAAACACACAGCGATCGCAAGAGACATTAACAGACATTGTACTTGCAATCTGTCTCTATACTCCCCGTGTGGCTTCCGGGGCCTTATTGTAGGGGGTGGGGGACGGGGGGGGGGGGGCCAGAATAGACCGACTGCCTACCCAAAAGCATGTCGTGAGTCGACTAATTGGGAGCTTCCTTTAAAGTTAGAGTGCATCTGCCTGAGAGACAAGGAACGAACAGTCTGCACACAAATTAGTCAGATCTGTCAAACGGATGCACACACAACACTCAAGTTCTGGAACATCACTGCAGTCCAAAAGTGGACGAACAACCAAGACTTTCCGCCAGAATTAACAGCTGGTAAACGTGAAGAAGAAGAAGTCTCCATACCAACTTTTGGTCACAGACTAAGAACACGATAAAAACATTAACCATCTGCGAAGTGATACGTTTGAGAATAGTCGAAAAAAAAAACACACACAGACAAGATTGTGAGAGAGAGGGAGAGATTAGAACTATTGCAACACTACCCATTAAAAAAAAAACAAAGAAACAAATACTGAAATGGTTCGGCCACCTAATAAGAAAGAATTCAAAGTCGAAGGCAGTTAGAGCGTACAATAGGAAAATTCAAATATAAAGAGACAGAAAGAGACTTGGGAGATGTTAAATCAAAATATTCACGAGAAATACTTTATAACATAGAATTCGAAGGAACTGATTACACCCTGGCTCAGCTACCCATCATAGTAAACTGCGACGCCTAGCGGCGTAAGATAAATATTGACAAGAACAAAAAAAAAAAAAAGAACTATGGCTGGCAGGATGTTAGCACATCGTTATGTAGTTGCTAAGTCAACATTTTAATCATCATCGTCGTTGTTATCGTCATCATCATCATCACATTATCAATATCATTGTGTTATCGATCATGTTTCTATAACATCATATGTCTGACACATTTCAGTGAGACGACATTTAGCTGTCAAATATCTTCTTTCGTAGGTTTCCAGTTTTTCTTTTTAAATCCACTTCAAACTCTGGTTAACATTATCCCTTATCACTTCACATGAACCATCTTTGAATATCTAACACGAAATCTCTGACAAGAAACTTCTGACAGGAAACATCTGACACTAAATATGTGACAGTAAACAGTCAACACTAAACTCTGAAACTAAACGCCTGAGACGCAACATCTGATTCGAAACATCAAGAAATATCTGACATTTAACATCCGAAATTAAACTTTGAAACGAAATATGTGACCCCTACCACCTGACACAAAACATTTAACACCCAACATATTTCCCGAAACATCTTCCCCCATCATCAAATACTAAACAGTTAACATTCGACACTGAAACTAAACTCCCACTACCCCACCTCCGCAACCCCAACATCTCACACAAAACATCAAGAAACACCTGACCATTCGTTTCAGAACCTGAACATGAAAAGAGGAAAGTTCTCGAAACGTTTTCCCAATGTTTACCGTTTTCATAGTGACTGATCGGGCCAGTGTTGTCTGAACAAACAGCTACAACTGAGAAAGAAATCAAACACATGAAAGTTGATAATACTGCAAAATTTATTATTATTATTGTTATTATTGTTATTATTATTATGATTATTATTATTATTATTATTATTATTATTAAAGTGTCACAAACTAGTATTAATCATCCGGAGTCTTGTTTGCCAGTTTGTAACTTTCTCTCCGTGAATCTTTGTGTGCAAGCCAGAGCACGGCTGCCATCACGCCCAAACTGGCAAACCGTAGACCCACATAGATGCCATAGTAGAAGTGCCGGAAGCGTTCCCTGTCGTACAGCATGCAGTTGCCGCCCGGGCTCCACACGGAGCAGGACATGTCTATGATCTTGCCGAAAAATATCGGGGACGGGAGAATACCTAGAATAGAGAATAAAGAGATATTATGTGTATGTGTGTGTGTGTAAATGTGTGTGTGTGTCAGTGGCGACGTGTGATTAATTACCATGTATAAGTGTTAGCAGGGGACGATAATTTAGAGAGGGTAGTATGTGCAATTTTCCTCCTCAACACTTAGTTGTTGAGAGTATGCGTGTGCAGCTGGCTTTATAGTACTAGTAACTTGTCGCTTTTACACGTTACAGTTTCTGCATGCATGGCGTAAGTATTCATAGGAGGGCTCAATAGGCTTCACTTTTGTTTACCTGCACAATGATAATAATATTATTAATAAAAAATAATAATTGCTGTTATTATTATTATTATTATTATTATTATTATTATTATTATTATTATTATTATTATTATTATTATTATTATTATTATGTTCTAAATGGCAAATACGTATATATTCGTCATTTAACATTTTTATTGATTAATATGCTGAATAAATTTTAAAAAAGAAGCCACTGTTTTTTTAAATAATCTGAAATGTATTCCTGTACGGATTACAGGGTCCACTTCTGGAAGTAAAAAAGAACAGACACACTGGCCCCTAATAAGTATGTCGTAAAAGACGACTGATTAGAGGTGTTTTCCTTTTGAAGTTAAAGTGCATCTGCCCGAGAGGCAAGGAACCAACAGTCTGCAAACAGATAAGCCAAATCTGTAAAAGGGATGCTACTGGTGATTTAACGATAGAAAATTACGAGTGTTATTTCCCTTGTGCAATAAGGAAAATGTAAAGTAAGTTTAAAGATGGGCGCCTGCCCTTAATTGCAATGTTCTTCAGCTTGTGGCCCGCGGATCCGGCACCGGTCAGGTGAAATTTGTTGGCAGTCCGCCAACAATTTGCCCTGAATTATGATTTAACTCTGTCAGTCCCAAAAGGTTGTTACTTATAAATGTTCTGTACTAAAAAGTTGTACTTGAAAGCACTCAGGTAAAATCTGTGTACACAAGGGAGCTAAATGGCCGTAGACCAAGTGGCAGACCAAGAAGACGACGGAGAGACAATACCCACACAGCTCCGAAAACGCGTGTGTCACCAACTGAAAAAAGAACAGCTACCAAAGAGATAAAGAGAGGTGGCTGATATCTGCAGCAGTAAACCTCAAGGACTTGGAATTCTAAATAAGCAATAGAAGAAGAAGAAGAAGAAGAAGAAGAAGAAGAAGAAGAAGAGGAAGAAGAAGAAAAAGAAGAAAAAGAAAGACAAAAAGAATAAAAAGAAGAAGCAGATTTGCGTCGCTGAAAAGCGCTGCTTCATATGACGTCACAAACCAAAGCTGCTTCATATGACGTCACAAACCATCTCTGCTTCATATGACGTCACAAACCAAAGCTGCTTCATATGACGTCACAAACCGTTAGCTGTGGAATTTCACTACAGATGTTCTCCGGGTGGATTCTGGGACCACATTGGAGGATGCAGGAGGGGGAGGAAAAAGGGGGGGGGGGTGAGAGAACACGCAGTGCTCCCTAAAAAAAGTTAGTTGCGTACCCTTTACAGGACTTCGCAGAACCAACCCCAGCATTTTTTGGCTGTTGTGGTTTTTCTATGCAAATGTTACCTTCAGTAGTTTTCCACTGCTTACTGAACGGTCAGCTCTCAGTACCAGTGTCGGAACCAACGCAAGACGTTCTATTGCCAGATCGTCCGCAGCTGGGATCGAACCCGGCACTGCGGCATTAAACAGCGCGTTCGCAGTGCCTAAGCCACAGACGCCGACACCCCCCCCCCCCCACTAAAAAGCATGTTGTAAAGGCGACAAATTACTGAAGCTTCCTTGGAAGTCGGAGTGCATCTGCCTGAGGTGCGAGGAATCAACAGACTGCATACAAATAAGACAGATTTGTAAAACGGATATGCACGCTAAACTCAAGTTTTGATATAAAAGACCAAAACCCACAAGTAGACGAACACCATGCACTTTCCGCCAGAGTGTGAGGATGATAATGATGATGAGGATGAAGATGATGATGGTAAGGATGATAATGATGATAAGGTTGATGATGCTGATGATAATGATCATTCATCATGATAATTATGACGAGGATCTTCTTCTTCTTCAGCTGTAAACTCTGGCGGAAAGTTTTGGTTGTTCATCCACTTCTGGACTTCAGTCCTGTTCCAGAACCTGAGATGTGCGTGTACATCCGTTTTACAGATCTGACTCATTGTGTGCAGACTTCTTGTTCCTTGCCTCTCAAGCAGATGCACTCCGACTCCAAAGGAAGCTCCCAATTTGTCGACTCTTACGACATGCTTCTGGGTAGGCAGTGGGTCTATTCTTGTTTTCCCTATAATAGGACCCTGGAACCCACACGGGGAACAATGATGATGATGATGAGGATAATTATGATGAGGATGATGATGATGATAGTCATGTGTCCAACGACCGGCCTTACCTATCAAAGTTTGACAGAAGGAACATGTTCCAGAGGACAGAGACTGATCCCGCTGTTCTACCGATCTGGAAATCACAATTAGTCAACATGAGTGCTCATACTTGAATGGAGGCAACAATTAGTCATCATGAGTGCTCACACTTGAATAGAAGCAACAATTAGTCAACATGAGTGCTCATACTTGGATGAGAGCAATAATTAGCCAACATGAGTGCTCATACTTGAATGGAAGCAACAATTAGTCAACATGAGTGCTCAAACTTGAATGGAAGCAATAATTAGCCAACATGAGTGCTCATACTTGAATGGAAGCAACAATTAGTCAACATGAGTGCTCATACTTGAATGGAAGCAACAGTTAGCCAACATGAGTGCTCATACTTGAATGGAAGCAACAGTTAGCCAACATGAGTGCTCATGCTTGAATGGAAGCAACAGTTAGCCAACATGAGTGCTCATACTTGAATGGAAGCAACAGTTAGCCAACATGAGTGCTCATGCTTGAATGGAGGCAACAATTATACTATTCCCCGTGTAGATTTAGAGGCCTATTGGGGGAGGGAGGAGGAGGGGGGGGGGGGGTGGGAATAGGCCTACTGCTCCTAACAAGCAAATATTTAGTGTTGTTTTCTTCGAGGTCGGGGTGTATTTGCCTGAGAGACGAGGAGGCGACAGCCTGCATACAGATAAGCCAGATGTGTAAAACGGATGTATATGCAAAACTCAAGTTCTATAATAAAGCCACAGTTATGAAGTTAACGAACAACCAGAACTTTCCGCTAGAGTTAACAGCTGGTGAACGCCAGGAAGATGATTCAGTCTATTTGCTCCCTTTGTCCTGCTTAAGTCAACGAAGAGCGTGCAAGCGCTCGCGCGCGCGAGCACATACACAAACACATATACACAACAAAAGTATACACCAATATGTCAACACAAAGAAAGCATTGCGCTCCGCCCTCCTTCCCCCCAACACGAGATAGTTCAAATTATCTAGACAAATGGCGGTGGCATCAATGGGTAAAATTCTACTGCTACTGTTACAGAATAGTGATGATGATGACTGCGACAATGATAACGATAATATTGTGCTAAATGATCTATATTACAATATTTTAACTTACTTAAACTAATTGGAAATGTATAAGCCAGTGTTTCCTAAAGTGGGTGCTACTGCCCCCCGGGGTCGTTGGGACGATCCAAGCAAACCGAGCGGCATTAAGCCGACTATACAAATGATAGGCCAGAGCATTTTTTACGGCGAGGAAAGAAAGACGATAGAAAACAAAATTAGCATGATATTCTTTTTGTTTGTCTGTTTGTTTGTCAACAAACGATATATTTCAAAACAGGGAATGGACTAAAGAGCTTGTTGACAACCAGCCAGATTGAGGTAAATAGGGCGGGGAAAGACAAAGAGATAAATACCCTGGTGACTTGTCTACATCATAGCGCAGCACAAGGGTACCATCTGATCCCTGATTCCACACACAGCGAAGGATGACCACCTATGCTTTTTGGCGTGGCACAGGATGATGATAGTTTGAAAAGGGGGGAAAAGGTGGGGAGGGGGGGGGGATTTGGGCGATTTTTATCACTGAAAAGGAGCCGGTGGAGCCGGTGGGTCAAAGACTTTTCGGAAACACTGGTACAAATAAATACTTTAAAAAGTGAACTTCTGTAAATGCTGTTTAAAAAAAAAAAGGGGGGGGGGGGGGCCGGAGGGCGATGTTTAAACTCCCAACAAAATTACCCTCCTTCACAACAAGCCGGGACTAAAAATGTCAGCGCCCCTAGGGTCAGGCGCTGGGGCCAGCACACGCACTCACGCATACACGCACACACACAAACAAATAAACACGACGCTGCCACACGTAAAGTGATTACGTCATAAGGCAAATTGCCTACCTGACACTCAGCATAAATCCAGGTATGATGGGCACCGTTCCCAGAAAAAAGGACACGGAGTAAACAACCAGGTAGGGAATAAAGTAAGGACAGTTGAGGTCACACACCCCTGGTCTTGCCTGGCCATCGTTGACGCTTGTACAATTTGTGAATATCTGTAATGAAAATATTGCATGTACATTGGACAGTGTTGTTACTCCACACTTCTGACAAATGTATGTGCGAATTAATACGAAGTCTCCATGAATTACGAAAGACAATAACGGAATCAACATTCAGTAACTCTCTAGCCTGCCCTGCATGTCGCAACAGGCTACTGAGACAAGTTGACGGAAGACCAGTTGCCTGGTCTTGTAGCTTCTAAACTCAATAGGCAGGAGATGGCAGTCGGCCTCTACTGCATTTCCAGATGGAAGCATGAGGAGAAGATGGTGGAGGAGGGAGAAAAGAAGAAACAAGAAGAAGAAGAAGAAGAAGAAAAAGAAGAAGAAGAAGAAGAGGAAGAAGAAGAAGAAGAAGAAGAAGAAGAAGAAGAAGAAGAAGAAGAAGAAGAAGAAAAAGAAGAAGAACAGAGGAAGAAAAAGAAGAGGAAGAAGAAGAAGAAGAAGAAGAAGAAGAAGAAGAAGAAGAAGAAGAAGAAGAAGAAGAAGAAGAAAAAGAAGAAGAAGAAGAAGAAAAAAAAGAAGAAGACGAAAAGAGGAAGAAGAAGAAGAGGAAGATGAAGAAGAAGAAAAAAAGAAGGAAAAAAAAGAAGAAGAAGAAGAAGAAGAAGAAAAAGAAGAAGGAGAAGAAGAAGAAGTAAAAAAAAAGATAGAGAAGAAGAAGTGGAAGATGAAGAAGATGAAAAAAAAGTAGAAAGAGAAAAGAAGAAGAAGAAGAAGAAGAAACAGCAGCAGCAGGATCAACAATAGCAAAACCAACGAAAGACAAATAAACCCTTTGAAAAAATGATTACGAGACATGTGTTAAGTTAAAGAACATTACAAAACTAAAACATTGATGTCAACGTGTATGACAAGACGAACTAAAGGATAATGCCAAGGTCATATTCTAGACAAACTGTTAGGCCGAATTTATGAGCGAGATTTTCGTGCAACTGGCAAGAAAATATACTGGATAGCCAAATGAAAATAAATGCTAAATGTGACACGAGATCAAAATCTGACACAACTATGGTTACATTTGTTTATGTTTTTAGGCATATAACAGTTGATATTTCCCACCGGGGTAGGGATCGCACACACATATACCAGGCTATGAGCCAGGATCCAGTTCATAGGGGAAGAAGATGGGAAGACGAAGGTCAGGAGCCCGTTTATCTGGAAAACAAACGGATCCAAGGTAAGATGACGTGTACAGGTTTCTTTCTGACAGAAGCTGGATAAACGCATAAGTATTAGATATCTGCCTTCTCTTGTGGGATTTGAGACTCCATTCGGAAGGCGAGAGGCGGGGTGGGGGATGGGGGTGGGGGGGGGGGAGTTTACCCACAACCTCAAACATGTCGTAGAAGGCGACTAATTAGGGGTATTCACTTCGACATCGCGGGAGATTTGCCAGAGAGGCGAGGAACCAGAAGTCTTCCCACAAAAAGCCAGATGTAAAACGGATGTACAAGCAAAATTTAAGCACCGAAAGATGTCCAGAATTCAGAAGTGGACGAACAAAAAGGACTTTAAGTTGTCATTTGACGCAGGTGAACGTTAAGAAGGAAATACCGGCCACAACTTTACTTTGTCAGAACAAGGAAAAAATGTCCCGTTTTCACGCTTTTCGGCGTAATTAATCGATATGTTTTATATCGTGTTTTCCCTCAAATGAGACACATGCCATAACTGTTTATGGAATTGGGTGGGGGAGGGGGGGGGGTTTGTAGACACACACACACACACACACACACACAGACATGCCGGGGAAAACACGCGAGGCAGTTATTACTTGGTCAATAAAATGATGAATACCAACTTTACTTCCTAGGACATTTGATTGGGGTGGTTACCATGTCAGTTGTAGCATTTCTGCAACCTGCCAGACAGGGAGACAGGTAGTTGACCTGGTTGTCTCCGCACACGATAAACACATCCTGGCTGCAGTCGCAGGCGTCCATAGACAGAGTTCTGTTATACAATGTAGTAGATAAGTTCATTTACAATTATAACATATCAGTTTATTCAAGGTTACAATATGAAATGTTAACATATTGTTTACCTCGCTTCGTCTTTCCTGGTGATAGTAGTTATGTTATGTTATGAGGAGCCATGGCCACAGAGCCGTGACGATGACCACAGAGCCGTGACGATGGCCACAGAGCTGTGGCGATGGCCACAGAGCCGTGGCGATGGCCACAGAGCCGTGGCGATGGCCACAGAGCCGTGACGATGGCCACAGAGCTGTGACGATGGCCACAGAGCCGTGGCGATGGCCACAGAGCTGTGACGATGGCCACAGAGCCGTGGCGATGGCCACAGAGCCGTGGCGATGGCCACAGAGCCGTGGCGATGGCCACAGAGCCGTGACGATGGCCACAGAACCGTGGCGATGGCCACAGAACCGTGGCGATGGCCAATGTGACTAGCAAGAACAACCTACCTTAAGAACATTCTTCCACAATTAGAGCATGGGATTTTTAGACCGTTGTTGCCATCCTAGGTATTTGGTGTGTTTCTTCTCAGGCGCTCAGTAATACTTCATGGGCACCCCGTGGCGCCCTAGCCTACGCCATCTGACAAGGACTTATAACCCTTAACTGCTGCCTGTCGATTTGTTCCCGAGACCAGTTAAGGCCAGGGATGAAGTTTCTTCTTTTCATAGCACAAAACCTGGGCAGTATCCTAGAGACCATACGTTGCAGATTCATCATGATACCTCTTTCAGCCTGCCTTGTTTACTCTTTAGGAATATAACATCATTACATTTGGAACACGACACGCTGCCTAATCATAAGAGCAGGGCTCTATCCGCGTGACAGAGATTCCTTCATAGACCAGCTGCCAGCCAAGACTCAGGGTCTGGTCTGCCCTGTCATAACATACAGAATTCATGTTGCATTTCCTCTTTCTGGGAAAGGGCCAGGATGTATTAATTTTGGATGACGACAAATAAGGTCATATATGACTATAACAGAGTTAAAGTTAAAGTTTAGGGTCCGACTTTCTTGCACCGAATTATTCCGTATGGCCCAGTCTACCCCCGATAGCTGCCTGCAGGGAGCGTTGTACATCCTACAAACCCTGTAGCTCTGGCGACGATCCCCATTGGTCTCCATAAAAAATTAAGCTCATGAACTGAGCGACGCCTCTGTGAAACGAACCGAAAACCTTCAGAGCGTGAGGCAAACGGCTTGACACCTTCGCCATGAAAACATGACAGATTTAAGAGATATCTTTATATAAATATATAAATGGTAAATTAAATCTTTGACAAGAGGTCGGGGGAATCAAAATGGTATCCCAACCCCCCCCCCTCCCCCCAATGGTAATGTCGACAGAGATTTGTTAAAACTGACGGTGTCACAAAGGTGTAGCAGTTCTCCTCTTCTTTGCGTTCATCGGCTGTGACTAAACTCCTGTGAAAAGTCCTGGTTGTTTGTCCACTTCTGGACTTTGGTCATATTCTAGAACTTGAGTTTTGCGTGCACATTCGTAATAGAGATCTGGGTTGTATGTACAGATTGTTAGCTCTTCACCTCTCAGGCACATACACCTCGACTTCGACTCTAGTTGGTTGGGCCTATTCTCTTGGGGGAGGGGGGAGGGGGGGGGGTGCCCTAAAACAAGAGAACAGAGCATTGAGACCTCGTTATAACAACAATGGACGCTGTCTGAAAGAAGACCAAAGGAAACTGACCATCAGCGGCGCCGACGTCAAGAAAGCATTGGGTCGCGGGCTCAGCCACTCTCTATACCTTTTAGAGGAAGGGGCTTCAATGAGACTAAGCCGTCATTAAGTGATAAATAATAATAATATTAATAATAATAATAATAATTATAATAATGTGCTGAATGGTAAATAAACATAACAATTTTAAATAAAGTTATATGTGTAAACAAAAACTTAAAGGAAATTAAATACACGATGAAGTTAGGAAACCTCAGCTGTGAACCACAATACTGCTTGCTAACTGTGTTTTTAAGGTGAAGAAGAAGAAAAAAAAGAAGAAGAAGAAGAAGAAGAAGAAGAAGAAGAAGAAGAAGAAGAAGAAGAAGAAGAAGAAGAAGAGGAGAAGAAGAAAAAGAAGAAAAAAAAAGAAGAAGAAGAAGAGGAAGAAGAAGAAGAAGAAGAAGAAGAAGAAGAAGAAGAAGAAGAAGAAGAAGAAGAAGAAGAAGAAGAAGAAGAAGAAAAAGAAGAAAGAAAAAGAAGAAGAAGAAGAAGAAGAAGAAGAAAAAGAAGAAGAAGAAGAAGAAGTAGAAGAAGAAGAAGAAGAAGAAGAAGAAGAAGAAGAAGAAGAAGAAGAAGAAGAAGAAGAAGAAGAAGAAGAAGAAGAAGAAGAGAAGAAGAAGAAGAAGAAGAAGAAGAAGAAGAAGAAGAAGAAGAAGAAGAAGAAAAAAGAAGAAGAAGAAGCAGAAGAAGGATAAAAAGAAGAAAAAGAAGAAGAAGAAAAAGAAGAAGAAGAAGAAGAAGAAGAAGAAGAAGAAGAAGAAGAAGAAGAAGAAGAAGAAGAAGAAGAAGAAGAAGAAGAAGAAGAAGAAGAAGAAGAAGAAGAAGAAGAAAGAGGTGGAGGAGGATGGGGAGATGAGCATCCCTGATATGCACAAATGACTAACTAATATCTGACCTGTTGCCATCTGCCCCTACAATATCCGAGTTCTTGCAGCCAAAGAGAAAGTTCAAACTGTCCAGAAGGACTGTAATGGCGGCCATTGCTAGTGTGATCACAGCACAACCTCGCAGGCCTAACTTGAGTCTCGTGGTGATGAACCCACCAAAGAAAGTTCCCAGGACTATGGTGAACAGACTCAGCACTCCTGCTCGTGAGAAAACAAGTAAGAAGAAAATAAATTTTACAGTTATTGAGAAATAACTACCTATTTTAAAACATGTATACATTATTTATTATTACTTACTTACTTACTTACTTTTTCCTTCCACGTATGCCGCTAAGCGTTGTGGGAAGATGCAAGTTCCTGTCATAAGCAAGGCGGGCAGCATCTGATGTTCTGAGGCCATGCTTTTGGCAGGTTTCGGAGACCCCGTCAATCCACCGTTTCCTTGGTCTTCCTCTTGCCTTATATCCTGAGCTTCTTTGGTTGAAAATTTGTGATGTTATTTGGTCATTTTTCATCCTGGTTAGATGTCCAAACCATTTCATTCTTTGATGTTCTATGTAGTCTAAACATGGTGTAGTTTTGACAGTGTTTCTAATGTCTATGTTCTTTATCCTGTCTAGTCTGGTCTTATTCGCTGCTTTTCTTAGACATTTCATTTCACAGGCTTCTATTTTTCTTTCATGGGTCTTGTTGATTGTCCATGTCTGGCACTGGTAGCAGAGTGTTGGAATGAAGATGGTGTCTATCAATTGTCTTTTGGTCTTCATGGTTATATCTGGATGTTTAAGCAGAGGTGATAGTTGGTATGTGACAGCATTTGCTTTCTGTATTCTTGTTTCTATCTCTCTGTCCATTCTTCCATCCTCTGTAAATATACTGCCCAAGTATTTGAACTCTTTGGTTTGCTTGATTTTGGCACTTCCAACATTTATATTCAGTGGCCTGTGTGTTCTGCTGATCTTCATAAACTTCTGTTTTTTCTGTACTGATTCTCATATTATGTTGTAAACAGCTGTTGTTGAGAGTAGTCAGATGTTCCTGTAGATCATATTCATTTTGATACAGTATGCTTTGATCATCAGCAAAAAGTAATTCGTTTATAGCATACACGTCTGGGTTTGCTTCTACAGTGATCTTATCCATATATGTTATGAAAAGTAATGGTGACAGTACACATCCTTGTCTGACACCAGTTGTGACTTTGAACCCATTCAGAAAGACCACTAGATGTTCTTACTGCACTTTCACTTTTTTTCATAGAGGGCTCTGATGTTGTCTAATAATTGACCCTGCACTCCGTAATCGTCAAGAATTCTCCACAGCACATCTCTGTCCACACGGTCGAATGCCTTCTCTTGATCTACAAAGACCACGTTCAGCTCTTTATCGTATTCGAGTGTCTTTTCACAGACTTGTATTCTGCTGTTTCATGTACTCCCGACGGGTTCAAAAGTTCTTTAAAATATTCCTCCCATCTTTTTTTAATTTCTTTTTTTTTTTTGGCTGAATAATGTTTTCCATTTTTATCATTTATGACTGATGTTGGATTGAAGCTTTCTTCTTAATCGCATCGCTTTCACACTCTTATAAAAGTCTCTTGATGATTCTGTACATAGCTGTGCTAGGTGTTCACCATACTTTTTCCATGAATCCTCTTTGGATTTCTTTATTGTTCTCTTGGTGTCTCTTCGAGTTAGTCTGTACCTAATGTAATCCTTTTCGTCTTTTGTTTTTAACCATATTTGAAACATCTTCTTTTTATTTGACACTGCTTCTTTGACTTCTTCATTCCACCAAGCGGTACCCTTTGTCTTGCCTTTGCCCGTCTTTCTGGTACCACACTTGTCTTTTAATATCTTCGTGATGGTTGATTTTTAATAATCCCATTCTTCTTCAATTCTTACTGGTTCCTTGGCAATATCTGCAAAAGCCTTTGTTATTTCTAGTTCAAATTCATGTTTGATATTCTCTTCCTCTAATTTCTTAGTGTTGATGATTTCTTCACGTTTCTGTTTATGTAGACTGTTTCTACTTGAGTTGCATATGTTCATAACTACTGGGCGATGGTCTGAATCCAGTCCCGCATTTGGGACAGCTTTTGAGTCTCTTACCTTCCTCTTCTGCCGTTGTCTGACTAGTATAAAATCAATTTGTGACGCTTGATCTAAGTTGTTCCACTTGTACCACGTTTTAACCTGACTTTGGCGATGTTGGTAGAATGTGTTGGTAATGTAGAGATCTTGTTCAGCACACAAGTTTAGCAGGTGTTCTCCATTTCTATTGCAATCTGTGGTTGTGTCGCTAAATGGGCCAAGGTATCTCTCCCATGGTGATCTTCTTTTACCTACCCTACCATTAAAATCTCCCATTACTATGATGTCCTCTTTCTCTTTAACATTATTGATGGTGTCCGTAAGTCTCTCGTAAAAGTCTTCTTTTTCTTTTATTTATTATTATACATCATTATTATGAAACATGAAATAAACTACTGCGAAGATTATATAATAGTGGAAAACATGAAGGAATTATAAAGAACATGTATTGACAGCAAACAGCAGCCTACAGAATTAATAGACAGTTGGGAATATTTCAGAGCATAAAGAGAGGAGTTCGACAAGGATGTGTACTGTCCTCTGATTTGTTTTCATTATACAGTGAATATATAATGAGGTCTATCCTAAATATGCTAGGAATTGTGGCTGGTGGTAATAACATAAACAACCTACTTTATGCTGATGAGATCGTCTAGATAGCGAAAAGTCAGAAAGAACAACAGGAATGCAACATTCAAAAAGAACACACCAAAGATAAAAACATAAAACTTTGAAGAATGACAAGCAACAACGAAATTCATAATTTGTTCAAATTACCAGTAATTACTGACATCACGAGTAGAAAACTGAGTGAGAGTAGACCTCGGGGCAGATCAAGAAGACTACACATAGATAATGTACAGACAGACCTGCAAACGTTTGGCGTTAACCGGCTGGAAAGAAAAGGCCAGTCAAAGAGATTAATCGAAGTAGGTGATATTCTGCCGGAATGAACCACAAGCACTCAGGATGCTAAAGAAGAAGAAGACGACGACGACGACAACGAAGAAGAAAAAGAAGTAGCAGCAGAAGAAAAAAAAAGAAAAAGAAGAAGAAGAAGAAGAAGAAGAAGAAGAAGAAGAAGAAAAAGAAGAAGAAGAAGAAGAAGAAGAAGAAGAAGAAGAAGAAGAAGAAGAAGAAGAAGAAAAAAAAAAAAGAAGAAGAAAAAGAAGAAGAAGAAAAAGAAGAAGAAGAAGAAGAAGCAGAAGAAGAAGAAGAAGAAGAAGAAGAAGAAGAAGAAGAAGAAGAAGAAGAAGAAGAAGAAGAAGAAGAAGAAGAAGAAGAAGAAGAAGAAGAAGAAGAAGAAGAAGAAGAAGAAGAAGAAGAAGAAGAAGCAAAAGAAGAAGAAGAAGGAGAAATAGAAGAAGAAGAAATAGAAGAAGAAGAAGAAAAAGAAGAAGAAGAAGCAAAAGAAGAAGAAGCAAAAGAAGAAGAAGAAGGAGAAATAGAAGAAGAAGAAATAGAAGAAGAAGAAGAAGAAGAAGAAGAAGAAGAAGAAGAAGAAGAAGAAGAAGAAGAAGAAGATCAGAAGAGAAAGAACAATTAAACATGTAGCTATATTTCTGTATCAACCTTTATATCCCCAAAATAATGTGTAGCTAATAAAACACACAGATTACCTGTGATAGTACTAATCTCTTGCGACGTTTTGTTGAACTGAGTCTCCATATATTTCTGACCGAAGGCAAACGAGCCAGAGAAAGCAAATCCTTCGATGCAGGCAAAAATTAAAGACAGCACGAAGATAGGCTGACGAAAACATCGTCCTAATGACTTAGGTAAGTCTATGCGTAAGAAAAAGAAATCATTAAAAATGGCCACACAAAAAATGAGCAAAACAAATATTTTTAAAAACAGTTAACGTGATAGTGAGTTTTATTTTCGTATGTAAACTTAGAGTAGAAGTTGGGATGGCGCAGTAGCTGGTCACTCGTCTGCTTCCCTTAAAGACTTGCGTTTGAATCCGTGTCGTCTAAAAATCGACCAGGTCGAGCCGGCCAAAAATGGGTACCGCGAAATGTCCTGGTATGTAAAAGCGATCGATGCGATGGTGACCACATCACACATCTGGCATTGTAATGTCAAAGACCTTTAACCCCGCCTTCAGGCCTATCTGGCATATAGTGCTTGACTTAGATTTTCTTAGACTAATCGACACTCAAGGGGTGATGTAGTCAACAGCACGCCAGTAGCCTTTACTTCCCAAGACGTTGCCTGCTACCCACTCGAGGCTCTACCTAGGAGCCATGGTCAACTTTGAAAAACAGTTCGGCTTCGTCTAACCGCAACACCCCACAGGTTCCCAGTCCACATGGTGGCTTCAGTATTTGTAGAAATTTACCTAATGCTTCTAGGTCGACCCAGCCCTAATGTAACAATTATCCTTGGAAAATTTATGTTGGTGCTGTCAGCTATAACTTGTGAAAAAACACAACTATCTACAATCAAGGAGGCACAACAGCACTCAGTTTCCGATACACATTCGATCAGTTTATTCCGCCCGATTCTTCTATTCGATTCCGTTACAGTTATTCGATTATAGCCATTGCTGCTCACTTCTGCAACAATTTTCCAACGATCATTCATACAATGTTGAATACAATAATTCTCCAACGATCATACACACAATGTTGAAAACAATAAATCTCCAACGATCTTTCACTCAATGTTGAATACAATAATTCCCCAACGATCATACACACAATGTTGAAAACAATAAATCTCCAACGATCATTCACTCAATGTTGAATACAATAATTCTCCAACGATCATACACACAATGTTGAATACAATAATTCTCCAACGATCATACACACAATGTTGAATACAATAATTCTCCAACGATTATTCACACAATGTTGAATACAATAATTCTCCAACAATCATTTACACAATGTTGAATACAAAATTCTCTAACGATCATTCACACAATGTTGAATACAATAATTCTCCAACGATCATTCACACAATGTTGAATACAATAATTCTCCAACGATTATTCACACAATGTTGAATATAATAATTCTCCAACGATCATTCACACAATGTTGAATACAATAATTCTCCAACTATCATTCCCACAATGTTGAATACAATAAATCTCCAACGATCATTCACACAATGTGGAATACACTTCAGTTAAACTACATCGAAAACATTACAACCGTCTTTCTTAAACCCAGGTAAGCAACTGACCACGAGCTTACTTCTGACTTTTCCTCGTTCATCTGGGATTTTTTTTACGTGGACTTGGACTTTAGTAATTCCCCCTACTCTCTGGGTAGTGAGATCGGCGCCCGTGTGCATTGTTGCGCACGTAAAAAAAAAAATCTCTTGGCAGTTAGAAACCGAAAAGAGTAGCCTAACGCCGCTGCCCATGCAAAAATTTGGAGTTAAAAATCTACCCAAATTATTTTAGCATCCTCGCCGGTGCTACAGAGACTGTGCACTGTGCTGAGCTTCTTCGGACTCAGACTTGACTTCGCAGAAGAGCTGAGCACTTATGGGTTACTACCGTGTGCCATGATGTTGATCCATTGTTCAAACCTCAAACTTCAAATCTCGTTCATCTCCCCAGCTCAGAATGTCCCCTGTCATCTCTTGCAGGGTTTCTGTTCAGCTTGCTGTGAGCCTAGGTCTTCTGAAGAAGAACAAGAAGCAACGACTTAACTCTTACAAAAATGCAACACTTACCAGTTAGCATCACCCGCAGAGATGTGGTCTCTGTCGTTTCCGGAAGGTTCCGAGTTTTTAACTTGCGCATGTGTCTGGGAAAGAACATGATTGGCACGGAGCAGACGATACAGGCCAGTCCGATGATAGAAAAACCGAGCCACCAGGCACCGACCCATCTCTGGTCGTGTTTGGACATGTTGGTTTCTGGGGAGGATCCGGCGAAATTTGGGATGGTGATGCTGATTGCAACTAAAGGTAGTTTAGTAGTGATAGTTGTAGGAGTAGGAGAATTAGTCGTGGTAGCAGTGGTAGTCGTAGTAGTAGTATGAGTAATGATTACAGTGGTAGTTGCAATGGTAGTTGTAGTAGTATTAGTAGTGATGATGTTGGTTGTAACAGTGGCAGTAGGAGTATTGATGATACTTGTAGTAGCAGTGGTAGTAGTAGTAGAAGTGATGGTGGTAGTAAAAGTGGTAGTTTCAGTATAAGTAGTCGACAGTGGTTCCAGCAGGGGTGTTGGTGGTTGTTGTAGTGGTGGTGGTAGTAGTTATGATGATGGTGGTAGCAGAAGTGGTAGTGCTGTTAGTAGTAATAATAGCAGTAGTATAAGTGGTGGTAGTAGTAATAGTATCAGGTAGTGGTGATGTGGTAGTAGTAGTGGCAGTAGCAGTAGTAGTATTAGTATTGATGATAGCAGTAATAGCAGTGGTAGTAGTAGTAGCAGTAACATTACTGCTACTGACGTTAGTAGTACTACTACTACTACCAGCAGTGATAGTAGTAGTAGTATTAGTAGTGATGACAGTGGTAGTAGCAGTGGTATTAGTAGTAGTATTAGAAGGGATGGTGATGGTGGTGGTGGTGGTGGTAGTAGTAGTAGCAGTGGTGGTGGTTCTGGTAGCTACTACCAGAGCTGGCGGGACAGGCAATGCCACTGTCCATGTTTATTTGTTCGCGGTTCGTGACTCACTGATGTGACTTTAGATTGGTGTGTAGTGAGCTAAAAGGCTACTGAATGATGTAGCAATGAAAGGTGTCGCTATGGTGTGGATTGAGCTAAAAGGCTACTGAATGATGTAGCAATGTACGGTGTCGCTATGGCAAACTGTTTTATTTGTAACCAGCCAATCGGAGGTTGAATTTTGAATAGCTTTCTTACATGAAGCAGCGTATGTTTTGTCATTTGTCACAATCCAGCTTTAGCGACTCTTACCTTTCAGGTCTACAGGGAGAGAACTGGAGAAACTACCCAGAAATAGAGCAACTGGGGGTCCTAACAGCATGGCGGTAAATGAGGCGCCTGGAGTAAAATCACAAAAATGAGACTGCAGTTAAATTGGAGCATACATTATAAACAAATAAATAAATAAACTATAAAAACATAAATAATATACAAATAAATTTACATTATGTGGTAGCAAATCCTTTCAGAACGCGCCGCTCACACACAATGAATAAACGAAATACAAATTGGATTCCTGGCTACTTCGCAATCATCATATGCCCCAATTTAAATATGCTCTACCATTGAACGGGGTGTATGGGGGTTTCTCCTGTTTGAATGTCAGCCGGAATAGTGGCTATAGAAATCGTCGGGTGTCAATATTTCAAACTGTAATCCATAAAGGAGACATTTTGAAAACATCTCATTTACTCAGACAGAAATGCCAGACATTTTCATAGCTTGTATGACACAAACTTCAAGGTACCGGAGTTCAAACAACGAACTAAATAATCTATGAAACGAATCAACTATTCCACCAACTAGTTATTTAACTCAACACCGAACCCAATACACCACCCACTCATCCAAATAAGCAGCCAAACATCCAAACAACAATCTAACCACCCAACTAACCAACTAACCAGTCAACTAACCAACTAACCAGTCAATCTCCTAACTCCAGACAACATCGGAAAAGACCCTTACCTAGCAACAGAGCCGAACGATTTTTGTTGACAATGTTACTCTCGATGTAATATGTCAGCAGCGGGATTCTGTAAGACTTCACAGCGCCGCCAATCATTGAGCAGAACACCAGCAAATAAAATACCCACGAAACTGAACGGGACGAGCTCGAATCTCCAGATAAAGCCGGGACAAATGAGGAAGAGTTTGTAGAAGCTAAGACTGAGTTTGTCCATGTTGGGAAGCTAGAATCACAGAGGTACTTCGCAGAATTGTCCTGGAGGTCACTAGTGGTCGTCTGTAGACCAGGAGCTGCGAAATTTATAATTTGTAAATACATACAAGTTTAAAAAAAAGAAGCTATCTACATAACCTTTACAGGACGATGCAGAACCAACTCTCAGTTTTTTTTTTTTTTTTTTAAATAGCTATTTGTGATTTTGCTAGACAATTTTACCTTCATTGCCACATAAACGCTCGGTTCTAAATCTCACTGTTGAAATCAAAGCAAACCGGTCTGCTGTCAAATCGCCGGCAGCTGGAGCCGAACCGGACACCCCAGAATTACGACGAGCGTTCGCAATGCCCATTTAGTGGGTGACAATAAAAAAGTATAAACAGGAGTAACGACCCATGACATCCCATTGTCACATGGGTCATACCGTGCAGAACATATATTTTCATTCATCAAATGATGCTCAGTCAACGCGTGCTAAACACTTCGTAAGTTTGTTTATGAAGGGTTCGATTTTGCAGTTAAGGCTTTCAGTATGAGCGGGCTAGTCTCCCTCCAACACTACCTAATCGACTTTTTACGACATGCATGGTTGATTGTAATGTTACAATACTTTGCTTTCCTCGTCAGCGATCATAGAATACCTAAATGGGAACATAATTGAATGTAGATTCGTTTCTTTAGGTTTCTGGGTTGTCTCTGGAGCTACGAAATTTCCTGTTTTGTGCGACGCTCTTGGTGGACAAAAAACGGCTCTGCGAGAGAGACCGAGATATATGGTGTAATGAAATCGATTGAGATCTCCAACTTCTAAACTTCTTTTAAACTTTATAAGTCAGAGCACAAAACAACCGCTGACAGGATCGACACTCACGGCCTAATGTGATCAGAACCTTGCACAGATCCGACTTATACTGCGATTCTCTGACCCACTCCTCTCCTCGCTCAAATTTATCAGCCTTCACATGTCTAATTGTGTCTTCTGCTTCTTTTTTTGTCAATATCTGCTAAGCCGCTAGGCTTCGCAGTTCATCAGACGATCGGCAGCCGAGCCAGGGCCCGCTCAGTCGCTTGATATGCCGTGATGTTTTGCTGTCTCAGGGTGTCAGTGACTCCTTCAATCCATATTCTACTCGGTCTTCCCCTGCCTTTTGATGTTTAGATTTTCAGGTTGCACGCTCTTGCTGCTGGCGTTGTTGGTTTCATTCTCATTAGATGGCCAAACCATTTCATTCTTTGTTTATCAAGAAATTTGACGGTGGGTATTGTTCCAACGGTTCTTGTGATCACGTCTTTTCTTACTCGATCTCTTCTGGTTTTATTCACTGGCATTTTCAAACATCTCATCTCACAGATAATTAGTTTTCTTTCATGCTCTTTTGTCAATGTCTAAGTCTGTCACTGATAGCATAAAGTCGGTCCAAATATTGTATTTATAAACTGAATTGTGTCTTCAGATTACCCCATTCAAGACCTTTCTATTTTCAGTCTGTGGCCCTTACCTCTACCTTGGACTTCAGATACGGTTAGCATTCTATGTAGTAATCATTCTTAATTCAACATTCTAAGTGGTGATCATTCTTAATTCAACATTCTGAGTGGTGATCATTTTTAATTCACCATTCTAAGTAGTAATCATTCTTAATTCAACATTCTAAGTGGTGATAATTCTTAATGCAACATTCTAAGTGGTGATCATTCTTAATTCAACATTCTGAGTGGTGATCATTTTTAATTCACCATTCTAAGTAGTAATCATTCTTAATTCAACATTCAACATTCTAAGTAGTAATAATTCTTAATTCAACATTTAACATTCTAAGTAGTAATCAGTCTTAATTGAACATTCTAAGTGGTGATCATTCTTAATTCAACATTCTAAGTAGTAATCATTCTTTATTCAACATTTAACATTCCAAGTGGGAATGGCTAATGAAATTGGACAACTATTTACAGCTATCCTAAAAAGGCAGTCAATGTTCTTTGACCATGGGATGAAAAGAGAGACATTCAAGAACATCGTGACTACTGAAAAGATTAATGGTAGAGGAGACAGAGGCAGACCGAAACAAACACTGATTGACGACTTGAAGCAATGGCACGGATGAGTAATACCAGTGGATTTGATTCAAAAAATAAACCACCGAGATCTGTGGAGAGACATGAGCGCCTACACCGCTGGGCAGGGCACGTGATGATGATGATGATAAGAATCAACCTCGAAGCAAACCGTGCATATTCAAAGGTGCTCAGTCTCTCGCAGCAAACGTCATAAAGTGTAGATGCTGACCGCCCTTGTATCTGATACGCAATAATGCATGGTACAGATACATCATTGAAAGTTTCCTTACCTGAAGTGTCCTGCCATACCCTGGGTGTCTCCAGTCTCCCGAGCGCCATGGCGAGGGTGGCCAGACCAAAGAGAAGGCCTGAGACTGACAGGAACACGGGGATGTGGGTGTACTTGCCCAGATGGCTTCCGAGAATCACGAACACCAAGTAGCCGATCTCATTACTGCTCAATATAAACCCTACATACAGAACATATGGGAAAGTCCATTACTGCTCAATATAAACCCTACATACAGAACATATGGGGAAGTCCATTACTGCTTAATATAAACCCTACATACAGAACATATGGGAAAGTTCATTACTGCTCAATATAAACCCTACATGTAGAATATTGGGGTAGTTCATTACTGCTCAATATAAACCCTACACACAGAACATATGTTGAAGTTCATTACTTCATTCATTCATTCAGTAGCATGTCCCTCGCGGAACCTCGCTGCCATAACAACCCTCCGGAAAACCTTCCTATCATGAGCAAGATGTCCTGCGTCTGATACACCCATCTGGAGATCATCTGCCACATCCTGCACAGTTCATTACTGCTCAGTATAAACCTACATACAGAATACATGGGAAAGTACATTATAACTCAGTATAAACTCTTCGCATTGAACAAATAGTATAAGCTTAGCTAAACCTTTTGTATACCAGACTTCGTGGGTCAAAATATACACTAAACAAAATTAGTTAAATAATACAATATTCTTACAACTTTGACCTAGAATAAGTTTAGCTGAGTTTCAACAACCGACATCACATCACTTCATTATGATGGAGGACAGAATTACGAAGTACGACATATTTGTGGTAGAGGCCGTGGTGTAGCGGCAGCACGCTGGCCTGCCGATCCGAAGGTCGTGGGTTCAGGCCCTGACGGAGCCGGACGTTTTTCAAATATGAACTTGACTTCCAGGTCGGCACAGCCTTAAATGGGTACTAGATAATTTCCTGGGAAGTAAAGGTGGTCGGCATGATGTTAATCACATTAACCACCGAGTGCCGTTTGGTCTACAAAATATAGGTCTAGCCCTATACGCCTGGGAGGCGTGGAAAAGGGTCCTTTACTTTACTCTAATTCATATTTGTATCTATATTCCCTATTGAGAATTGTGAATCTGCAACCATGGTCCTGCAAGAACAGCAAGTTAAACGGGCTGTATTCTAACAAGAACACTACGCGAGTAGCCAAAGAAGAAGAATAAACCAACACAGAACTGGTGTCGTCAGCCGCTACACGCTGCGGGATTTACTGAGAAGGGGATCCGAGGACTTAAGGACTGAGTGGTTCGACTTACAATGAGGATAATCTGTAGAATAACTTATGAACTCAGTGGTTCTACGTGTAGTGGGGATAATCTGTCGAGTAACTAACTATTTTTGTATCCGAAACTGCCACCAACCTGTTTTGCTGCTGGAAATACCAAGATGGCGCTCTATTGACGTGACCTGAGATCCCAGAAAACTGGAGAGAGTAATCATCCAGATTCCGGCAACTCCGTAAGTTACGACAAACACGTTGAGATTGGCCAGACCTGCGGGTAGACAATGATAAACACTTTGAGACTGGGCAGACCTGATATAGACAATGATAAACACATTGAGACTGGGCAGACCTGCGGGTAGACAATGATAAACACATTGAGACTGGGCAGACCTGATATAGACAATGATAAACACTTTGAGACTGGGCAGACCTGCGGGTAGACAATGATAAACACATTGAGACTGGGCAGACCTGCGGGTAGACAATGATAAACACTTTGAGACTGGGCAGACCTGCGGGTAGACAATGATAAACACTTTGAGACTGGGCAGACCTGCGGGTAGACAATAATAAACACTTTGAGACTGGGCAGACCTGCGGGTAGACAATGATAAACACTTTGAGACTGGGCAGACCTGATATAGACAATGATAAACACATTGAGACTGGGCAGACCTGCGGGTAGACAATGATAAACACTTTGAGACTGGGCAGACCTGATATAGACAATGATAAACACATTGAGACTGGGCAGACCTGCGGGTAGACAATGATAAACACTTTGAGACTGGGCAGACCTGCGGGTAGACAATGATAAACACTTTGAGACTGGGCAGACCTGATATAGACAATGATAAACACATTGAGACTGGGCAGATCTGCGGGTAGACAATGATAAACACTTTGAGACTGGGCAGACCTGCGGGTAGACAATGATAAACACTTTGAGACTGGGCAGACCTGATATAGACAATGATAACCACATTGAGACTGGGCAGACCTGCGGGTAGACAATGATAAACACTTTGAGACTGGGCAGACCTGCGGGTAGTCAATGATAAACACTTTGAGACTGGGCAGACCTGATATAGACAATGATAAACACATTGAGACTGGGCAGACCTGCGGGTAGACAATGATAAACACTTTGAGACTGGGCAGACCTGCGGGTAGACAATAATAAACACTTTGAGACTGGGCAGACCTGCGGGTAGACAATGATAAACACTTTGAGACTGGGCAGACCTGATATAGACAATGATAACCACATTGAGACTGGGCAGACCTGCGGGTAGACAATGATAAACACTTTGAGACTGGGCAGACCTGATATAGACAATGATAAACACATTGAGACTGGGCAGACCTGCGGGTAGACAATGATAAACCCTTTGAGACTGGGCAGACCTGCGGGTAGACAATGATAAACACTTTGAGACTGGGCAGACCTGCGGGTAGACAATGATAACCACATTGAGACTGGGCAGACCTGCGGGTAGACAATGATAAACACTTTGAGACTGGGCAGACCTGCGGGTAGACAATGATAAACACTTTGAGACTGGGCAGACCTGCGGGTAGACAATGATAACCACATTGAGACTGGCCGAACCTAATGTAGACAATGACAAAAGCATCGAGATTGGTCTGGCATGAAGTGGACAATGATAACCACACCAAGAGTGACGGGACCTTAAGTGGACACTGATAAGCACGCTTAGATTGACGAGACCTTAAGTGGACAACGATAAGCACGCTTACATTGACGAGACCTGAAGTGGACAATGACAAGCACGCTTAGATTGACGAGACCTTAAGTGCACAATGACAAAGCACGCTTAGATTGACGAGGCCTGAAGTGCACATTGACAAAGTACGGTTAGATTGACGAGACCTTAAGTGGACAATGACAAGCACGCTTAGATTGACGAGACCTTAAGTGGACAATGATAAGCATACATAGATTGACGAGACCTTAAGTGGACAATGATAAGCACACCTAGATTGACGAGACCTTAAGTGGACAATGATAAGACAACCTAGATTGACGAGACCTTAAGTGGACAATGATAAGCATACATAGATTGACGAGACCTTAAGTGAACAATGATAAGACAACCTAGATTGACGAGACCTTAAGTGGACAATGATAAGACAACCTAGATTGACGAGACCTTAAGTGGACAATGATAAGACAACCTAGATTGACGAGACCTTAAGTGGACAATGATAAGCATACATAGATTGACGAGACCTTAAGTGGACAATAATAAGCACACCTAGATTGACGAGACCTTAAGTGGACAATGATAAGCACACCTAGACTGACGAGACCTGAAGTAGACAATGACAAGCACGCTTAGATTGACGAGACCTGAAGTGGACAATGACAAGCACGTTGAGATTGACGAGACCTTAAGTGGACAATGACAAGCACGCTTAGATTGACGAGACCTGAAGTGGACAATGACAAGCACGTTGAGATTGACGAGACCTGAAGTGGACAATGACAAGCACGTTGAGATTGACGAGACCTGAAGTGCACAATGACAAGCACGTTGAGAATGACGAGACCTGAAGGGCACAATGACAAAGCACGCTTAGATTGACGAGACGTGAAGTGGACAGTGACAAAGCACGCTTAGATTGACGAGACGTGAAGTGCACAATGACAAAGCCCGCTTAGATTGACGAGACCTGAAGTGCACAAAGACAAAGCACGCTTAGACTGACGAGACCTGAAGTGCACAATGACAAAACACTGCGATGGGTCGAACATAATGTAGACAACGACAAACACACTGCAGTTGACCAAAAAGGAATTAGACAACGACAATGAGGACCTGTTCACGTTTTCTGGCTTATCTACACACTTTCTCAGCCTGATCTAAGACAGATGAGTATCACTTTGTACTGCTTGTTATGAAAAGAGTCTCGTATGACCTAGGTTGAGGCTGTGGGGAGGGGTTTGGTTTAGGGCCAGTTCTAGATGTTCAGGGGTCGTTGAAAGCTGTGTCATAGTGTAGTATAAAACATGTGGCGTCGGCGCTGATGTAATTAGAGGGAAGACAACGTGACCCCCCTCGGGCGTAGAAGAGCCTGGAAAAAGTATGAATGTAAATTCAGGTAGTGGTAGTGTGTATATCGCCTGGGAAACGTATTCAGGCCCGACAGAGAAATTGTGACAGGCCAGACCTGAAGTGGGTAGTGACAAACACATTTAGATTGATCAGACATATAGCACCTATTGGTAGACACCTTGTGATTGGCCAGACCTACGAATAGACAATGACAAGCACATTGCCATTGGCCACAAGCGAGGTAGACAATAACAAACACATTGCGATTGGCCAGACATGCAAGTAGACAATGCAAGTGGAAATGTTAATGCAATAAGTGATATAAAGTTACAAATAGTGTGAGGTTACAAAGGTTATTTATCGACAACACACACATATACACACACTGAGACCGGTCAGTCGTGCATGTAGACAGCAACAGGAGGAAAGAAATCACCTATCACAAATATTAAAGAATATATATATATGATTTGTCTAGCATAGAAGGAATGTAATTAACAGAAACATGATCTTTTATTTGCTGTTGACATTGTACACTTGTAAGTACACTTTAGCCAGCAGTATTTGATTAATGATTTGAGGTGGTACAAGTGAAAAAAAATTAATCTAACAACAAAAACACACACACATATGTGTGTGTGTGTGAGTGTCTGTGTGTGCTTGCTTGTCAGGTTCAAACCCCGATGAAAGCTAAAGAATTTGTGCGTGGACTTCTAGTGATTTCCCCTGGTATCTGGATAGTGAAACCCGACACCCGTGTGTATTGTTGCACGCGTAAAAAAAAAAAAAAAATTCTTTCGGCAGTTGGAAATCGAAAAAGCCTAACGGCGCTGCCCGGGAAAAATTTAGAGTTAAAAATCTACCCAAAGTATTTCAGGATCCTCGCCGGTGCAACGAAGCTCGTGCACTGCGCTGAGATTCTTCAGACTCAGGTTTGAGTTAGAAGTAGAACGGAGCACTTATGGGTTACACCCGTGTGCCATAATGTTGATCCGTCGACTAAACATAAACATAATGTAGTCGTGTGTGTGATGGTAGGTTTAGCACGCAAACTAAGAAGTAATCAATCAATGTGATTTCAATGAACACGAGTAGCACTTACGTTGACTCCATTGAGGCTTACAGCCACCCAGTCCGCACACACCGTACTCATAGTTTTCTTTGAGGTCTTCTGTTTGTTGTTTTGTGTTGTCCCCTGCAGTTGCCTTTCTGAAATAGATTTCTGACCATCGTGTTTGTTTTTCTGGTGTCCTTATAAGTAAAAGTAAAGTTCCCTTTTCCACGCATTTAGGCGTATTGGGAATATAGGGCTAGACCTATATTTTTTTATAGACCATTCAGCACTTGTTGGGTGATGTGGTCAGCATCGCGCCGGCCACCTTTACTTCCCAGGACTACACCTGGTACCCACACAAGGCTGGGTCAACTAAGGAGTCAAGGTAATTTTTGAAAAAAGTCCGACTAGGTCAAGACTCCTTATAGTATGATTATAATTATGACCCACCAATTTTGACTCTGGGACAATCTGCGTATTGTTGTGATAGCGCTGTTATAGGGTGAACTCAACAAGGATTTTAGCCACGACTCACTGACAACTTGTACATGCACAGACGATATGAACATTCTGCGAATATTCTATAAGTACATTTTATAGTGGTCATTTTCGGGGATGCTTCTTCTTCCTTTTCCTCCTCCTCCTCTTACCCTTCCTCCAACATTTTCTGTGTGTCGACGTAGCTGCAGACATCACTGACAATACCAGCTATTTCGTTGTATCTCTTGGACTGCATTACTACAGAATTACATCAGTATTTATAGAAGCATACAAACTGAACTAATTTTATTGAAATACACATCACGTGATTCCCCATATGGGATCCAGGGCCCTGTTGCAGGGAAAACAAGAATAGACCCACTACCTACCCAAAAGCATGTCGTAATAGTCGACTAATTGGGAGCTTCCTTCGAAGTCGGAGTGCATCTGCCTGCGAGGCAAGGAACCAGCAGTCTGCATACAAATAAGTCAGATCTGTAAAACGAAATCACGCGCAACACTCAGGTTCTGGAACAGGCCTGCAGTCCAAAAGTGGACGAACAACCAGAACTTTCCGCCAGAGTTTACAGCTGATTAATTCGAAGAAGATAAAGAAGACATCACATGATTTCTCTTGATACACTGTTCGACTAACTGCTGGAAGTTCACGATAGTCACGTGGCTAGTCAGGGTAACATCAAATTTATAGCGAGCTCTTTCTGTTAACACAAGGGGAGACTGGTCATTTTAATTTACTTTTAATACAAGCAATGGCTATTCCTTTCCCTGCTTGTATTACTTCCCATCTGGTTCAACCGTTCATTATGTTTTACTTGACAAATCTGGGTGTGTGGGCCCAAGTAGGGAAGGTCAGTGGTGACTAGTAGCGTTACAAAGATGATGTCAAAGTCATTTAAATACACGTTTGCGCGCGGGTGCACAAACACACACACACACATGCATACACACAACACACAAACCTCAGTGACTGTGAGTGAGAGAGAGAGAGAGAGAGAGAGAGAGAGAGAGAGAGAGAGAGAGAGAGAGAGAGAAAGAGAGAGACAGACAGAGAGAGAGACACATAAACTTACAGAGGCAACGACTGGGAGGGTTTGCCATCTGGACCATGTATAGAGTATCTACTGCTCTCGGTGGCCGAGCCCGTGTCGTCATGCTCTGCCTCGTGGCTGTTGATGAGGTCAAGTCTCTCTTGGGAACTTACAATGTATGAGATATCCTGTAACTATAGAACACGTCAGAGTTTATTCAGCCTTTCTTTTATTCTTGTTTCCCCCCCCCCCCTTTTTTTTTTAATTTTATCAACCCCCAACCCAACCCCGCCTACTTTCTTTGACTGCCTTCTGAAGATTTAATACCCGGTTCTCTGAGTGGGTTCCTGGACTCTGTTTTAGGGGAGAGGGAAAAAAATATAGAACAGATCCATTATCGCCTAACAGTCATTCAGTAGGAGTCGCTAATTAGAGATGTTTCCTTTTCCAAGTCGCATCGTATTTCCTTCAGAGGCTAGGAATCAGACTAAAGTCCAGTAGTTTACGACAACCATAACTTTCAGCATGAGTTTACAGCCAGTGAACGCCTAGATGAAGAACACTCAGTGACTCATAGAGCCACCTTTCGGATTCAAATGCAACATGCACAAATGCAAGTGATTTGAAAGCGCTTTGCGTCGATTTTGACAACTACGTAAGCGTCAACTGCTCACTGAGCAATAGTAAAGCTACTCAGCGTCAAGTTGTCGAGTAAGTAAGTAAAAAAAAAAAAAGTAAAGATCCCTTTCCACGCCTTTAGGCGTATCAGGCATAAGGCAAGAGCGCCCATATTTTTACAGACCATCAGCACTCGGTGGGTAATGTGGTCAGCATTACGCCGGTTGTCTTTACTTTCCCAGGACAGCCCATCCTGGTACCCATTTTAGGAATAACACCATAAACAGCCAACAAGGTTGTTTGCAAATGTCCTGTAAAGAATATGCAACTAACTTAGGACACACAAGGAGTCGAGCCATGGCAGTAGGTAGCAAACTTGACCAAGGGTCAAACGTGACAATCCCCAACTTAGGTCACACAAGGAGTCGGGCCATGGCAGTAGGTAGCAAACTTGACCAAGGGTCAAACGTGACAATCCCCAACTTAGGTCACACAAGGAGTCGGGCCATGGCAGTAGGTAGCAAACTTGACCAAGGGTCAAAGGTGCTAGTTCCAAACTTAGGACACACAAGAAGTCGAGCCATGGCACTAGGTTGCAAACTTGACCAAGGGTCAAAGGTGCCAATTCCCAGCTTAGGACACACAAGGAGTCGAGCCATGGCACTAGGTTGCAAACTTGACCAAGGGTCAAAGGTGCCAATTCCCAACTTAGGACTCACAAGGAGTCGAGCCATGGCACTAGGTTGCAAACTTGACCAAGGGTCAAAGGTGCCAATTCCCAACTTAGGACACACAAGGAGTCGAGCCATGGCAGTAGGTAGCAAACTTGACCAAGGGTCAAAGGTGAAAATCCCCAACTTAGGACACACAAGGAGTCGGGCCATGGTCAAAGGTGTCATTTTCCTACGTCGAGACGATAGTTTTTCTGTTTAAACTGGATCTAGGCTACCAGGTCGACCCAATAGATAATGGGTACACGACTTTGACAATGGAAGTAAAGGCGACCGGTGTGATATTCACCTCATTATCCATTCAGTGCTGATTGGCATATTAAAATGTTGGACTAAAACCATGCACTAATAAGCCATGAGGCTTGAAAATAGGACTTTCATTTATCTTCACCCTTCTGTGCTTTGCCAACTAGCGCGGGCGATCTTGCCTATCCACAGTTTGTGATCTTCCACAGCTGTATCAGCTGATGGGCTAACACCCCTCCATGCTATGACACACGTCTGTAAAGAAATCTGTTCACATTATCTTGTTCTTTCTCTTTTGTTTTAAGTGATCTTTCCAATGGTCACAACATTTTCCAGATTATTTTTCTCATAACATGACCAAAAATGATGACTGGTTCTTTCTAATGACTTTTATTTGTGATGAGCTGTTTTCGAGCCCTCGCCTTTTTCAAAACCTCTGGGTTGCACTTTATGGCAGACCAATGAATTCTTCTAAGGATTCTTCAGTCACATGTCCAAACTGGCACTATACAGCATGGGAGAATTCTTGTTGTCCACCCCCCTGTGACATGGATTTATTGCCGGATTAAAAAAAAAAAAAATATAAAATGCAGTTTAGCCAGTCCTGTTTTGTTTGTGTTGTAATTTATATTATGCATCATCCTGATGTTATCAATGTGTTTAGATATTTGAATTTGTATAGAGGTGGGCGGTAGCTGATCAGTGACATTCGAAAGTGTCTGTCCCCGTCAGAGACAACCCGTGGCGCCCTCATTAACGCCAGTTGACAAGGACCCATAACTGCTGCCTGGGGCTTATAACCCGTAATTTCTGCATGGGAATTATAACCCGTAACTGCTGCCTGGAAGATGGCAGGAATACTGCAGCGGAATGTATGATATGAATGACAGTGAGGATATGAATGATATACATGAACCAGTAACAGTAGAGGCAGAACCTGAACCTTCATTAGATGAAATTTCATGGGCAATAAGGAGCCTGAAAAATGGTAAATCACCTGGATGTGATGAGATACCAGCTGAATTGATTAAAGCGGGAGGAGAAGAAAGCATAAAAATCTATCATGCATTATGTGAAAAGATATGGAAATATGGTATTTGGCCAAACGACTGGAAGAGAACTATCTTCATTCCAATACCAAAAAAGGGTGACCTGCAATTATGTACAAACTATCGAACTATTGCCCTGATCAGTCATGCAAGTAAAATTCTACTAAAAATTATAATGAGAAGACTGCAAAAGAAAATGGAAGAAGAGATTAATGTAGCTCAGGCTGGATTTAGACAGGGAAGAGGAACAAGAGATCATATATTCAACATGCGTTTAATAATAGAGAAGTGTAGAGAATTTAATGTAAATCTGTTCTTATGTTTTGTGGATTATTCAAAAGCATTTGACTGTGTACAACATCAGAAGCTTTGGGAAATCATGAGGAATATGGGCTTTCCATCACATATAGTGCAGCTCATTAAAATGCTCTATCAAGACCAACAAGCAGCAGTCAGAATAGATGGAGAGACATCAGACTGGTTTGGCATCAAGCAAGGAGTCCGTCAGGGATGTGTGCTGTCACCGTATTTGTTCAACCTGTACGCCGAAAATATAATGAGAAATGTAAGAGATGATATAAACAAGGAACAATATGATGCCCTAAACATCGGTGGTCATGAAATACCAGAAATTCGTTATGCTGATGATACAGTATTACTATCAACATCAGAAAATGGTTTAGAAAACTTATTAACCTCACTCCAAAGAAATAGTGAAAATCATAACTTATTTCTTAACACAGCAAAAACAAAGATAATGCATACAAACAAAACTGCCATGGAGAAGGAAATATATGTTAATGAGGAAAGATTGGAAGTGGTGGACAATTTCGAATATCTTGGGTCACTGGTTACCAACAATGGTGACACAATGAAAGAAATCAAACGGCGACTATCAATTGCTCTTCAAAGACTAAAACAACTGAATAAATTATGGAATTGTACAGATAGAATTACAAAGGTCAGATTTTTAAGAGCATGCATCTTTCCCATTGCAACATACGCCTGTGAGACCTGGACACTT